GACAAATCTGCTGTTTGGTTTTTACAATAATAACAAGGAAGGAAACCGACGTATTAGACATGAATGCACTGGGTGATTGGTAATTGTCAACTCTGGAACAGATGCATGGTCGCCTGGATATTGCTAAAAAAGATCCCTTGTGATCAATGGGATATGCGAGAGACGATAGGTATTTTATGGAAGACATTTCCTATCTATCGTTTTAAAGGTTTCCGACTCATATAATTATCCTATACCACATGGACACTAAAAATGCAGATGGTTGCGGCGCTTAGTGGAAGAAAGTTGACTAATTACGGGTATTTGCTTAAGCGATATTTTTATATTCAATAGGAAACTGCAACTGTACAGGTGATTACTTGTTGCAAACGGCGCAAACCAATATTTCCGCAAATATATCTGTCACCTGGAACACAGATATAAGCTAACTGATTTGCATACAACCCTCAATAATTCCATTATGTGGGTCACTTCAATTTATTGATATCAAATTCTAGCTTGGATTCAGCATTCGGATTAAACTATGATGCCGATTTGTATCTTGTAGCAATTAAGTCACTACTAGGTAATCTAAAGCAACCTTGATTCTTGGGATACATACATTCATCCGATCACAATATATACGGAATAGAGCTAAATTCAGCCATACAGAAAAGGACCTAGGTGAAGGAGGCTTCAAATGGCTCTGTGCTAGAGCCAGAAGTACTACTCGTAGTATGGAATGATTCAATGAATAAAGACATTGTGCAACAAAATGCACAAACTGCCTAACTAACAGTCAAAACACAAGCAGTAAGAATTTCAACATGGTGGTCACTAGGAAAACGTACGGTGTATGAACTATTGGGTGCAGCAGTCTTTACGAGTTCAAGTCAGTTAGGATAAGAATTACGCGATTCCGTGGTTGTGAGTGTAGTTCAGTTTCTGACGCGATTGTATATTGGGATGAACCCAAAACGCTGAGAAGCGTCACACTAAACTCCAAACTGGTGAGTCACTGTCAATGTTTCAATGTTTCATGCTGCAACGGAAGCCATCCTACTGTCGACGCGTATGCCTCAACATCATTACATGCAGTGAATATAATTCCAGTTCTTAGGAAGGTGGCCCAAAGGAAGAATGTAAACACGCTTAAAAGTTGAAACACGATTAACGGCAGAGCATGAATTTTTAAAGCCACATGCATCTGCAGCGGCATGTAGATGCTTGGCTAAGAGTAACATTGCTGCACTCGCTAAGACCGTTCTCTTGATTCATCGTTACCAACTTGATGAGTAGAATTGTGGAGGTCTCCAAGATAAATGTTATTTTTAGCCATTCCGTTCCTTGTTCACTTTGCAGGCACCCCACTTCCAGCATTTCGAATTCTCCCTTAATAGGTCGACTGATCATCGTTGCGGTTTTTCATCAGTAATAATGTTTAATGCCCTAACAACAAATGGGACATGATAAGTACCGGATATATTGCCCGTACAAACTTAAGCTTCATTGTGTCCCCTAACTTGAAATGTAATGGGTGCTCTCCGTTGGACACGCACTTAGAGTTGTACCTCATTAGCTGTATCAAACTTTTATGCGCAGCTTCATGCGTAGTCTACCGCACTCTCATGATGTCAGGAAGGTAGTTGCGCACACACCAGTGAATTTACTGACATGCACTGTAATACACGCTATGTAGCCGTTTGTTCATAGGAAACTGTGACTTCGCCAATCAATGTGCCAATCGTTTTTGCTTTCTGGCATGAACTCGCAACTTGTCCATCCCACGCAATCGTGTGCACGTACATATGCCTGCCAACTATCACCAATTGACACTAACTACTAGTGGTGACATAATGCGTACAAAGAGTAGCTCTTTCTGCTATCAAATTATGTAAAGGAGTTGAAGGTGAGGCATGATCTATCGTTTTGTTTTGGCCCAAAAGTATCCTTTCCCGGAGCTGGCGACTCGATTCGATAATGATTTTATTCCCGACACGCGAACCGTCATCTCCAGGATGGCATTGGGCTTGCGAGCAAGTCCAGCCGGCAACGTTGCGTCACTTACATGCCTGCCTTTGCTATATACTTACACCCAACAAGCTTTTGGCTTACGGCGCAGTACCAGTGAGGATGTCGAACGAGAAATCGCTCGCGTAACCACGACCGAAGCAAAAAGGTTACCAATTATCGTGGATAACGGAAACATTTGATAGCTCTGAAGCCTATTTTGACAATGTTATGAAATAACCAGGATGGTAAATTGTCTAAAGTCGCCCCAAATTTTAACAATGCGGTTCCGTTCAGCAATTTACATTTTATGGGTAGGTAAGAGAATCTTAACTTTCCTTTGATCAACTTACTTTTTGAAACAGAGGACCAAGCGGTTATGCTTTTATTCCTCTGCTCTTGACAAACTGATCAACCTTTTTTCATATGAAAAATATTAGGAAGACCGATCTGGATCAAACGAGCATGGCAATAACAAATCTGGGTGTGTGAGAACAGATAGTCTTCTACATTTCAGCTAATGTATGCGTTGATAGACAAGTATATCAACAGCTGAAATAGAAAACTCGGTTCCCGTCATTTTGTCACTAACTGCAGCTAATAAACGTTTAACGTCTAACCTCTGAATTGCATGAGCCCCAATGTAATATGACATCAAGTAAAAGGCAAGTGCGGTTTATTCGAAAAGCCATTCGAGGAGATAAATGCATCATTGCATTGCTAGAAGACAAGAAATCAACATTGCTATATATAATGATATAAAAATAGCGACATAATACTTTAACCTGTCTGTATATAGAGAACACATAGACGGATCTACTAGTAAACTACCGTAATAACCACTGTATCAAAAATGGGCAATAACCAATTCCTTTTCATTAGAGCAGAAACGCACTGATTATAACGATGTGACAGCTGTACTCCGTCATGGCGCTTCGTTGCAGCGCGACCACCACCCGTCACACACGGGCTGAACATACTGTAAGGAAGCACAGCCATACGCGGATTCGAACCGGCGCGGAAAGATTACGAGGCAAGCTCGTTAACACTAGGCTACAGGCCGACACAGAAACACACTACAACATAGTAGCAGTAAGAACGGTAGAGTAAAACAATATATACGATGTGTTACAAGGCAGCGGGCATCAAGAATACCACATTAGAAAACTTTGAAATATGTCTTATCATCGGCAAGAACAGACGGATAACCGAGTGCTACTTCCTTATATCTAATGTTTCTGAACTAGCAGTGCCATCAATTGCTTCGCATAGAATCATCGCAGTTAACCAATAAAATGCTACCCTGAGAATTCTTCGTTTTAGACCAAAGGATGTGGTCAAATTTGACAGCTTAACCAATGTCATCTGTCAACTGAACTGCGATGTGAAAAACACTACATCGGGAAACAAGAAGATGACAATTCCCAATATGGCAGTGCGTACAAAGTTCACTTAAATTTAGGATCAATATTGATTGAGCAAGACGTATATCTAAATTGTGACCTTAAAAGGCAAATAATTTAGTACATGGGATTATAAATAGGACAAGTGCTTTCATAAGCCATTCTATCAAAAGACAGGTGCAATTAGATGCCTTCAACGTATATCAAAGAGCGACAAATTACCAATTGAACCGAATACCACAGATAGAAGTTGAGGTAATAAAAACAACCAAGGCAAAATGTTCAGTCTTGTAATAACAAGGCCATAGTCACTTGATCTGGTTTGAGGTAATTTTCAACCGTCAACTGCCAAATCAACTAATGACAATGACCTATAAAACGCAAATGCAGACTAACTTATTCACAATTTCTTGTCCCTCGCTCCGCTCCCACATACTTAAACCAATAATGATACCCATTCGAATGCTAACGTAACGTTCGCTGGAAAAATGTTAGTCTCAGCGCACGGATTATCAAGAACAAATATCCTTGTTCCGGCGGAAAACGCCCAATGTCAATCTCTCTCATATGTTTCGGCCCCAGTGGTGGATATGTCCACGGTTCAATTCCCAGCGCGTAACAGCGCATATAGAGATTGTGCTTCTCAAGCATTTCTTAAACCAGTATCTTAAAATGGCCCTCCAATCAGTCCTTGTTTTCGGACTCATATATATATATATATTATTGCTCATTATGAATTTCTTACAAATGAAAGGTGATTATGTTGACTCGGTTGGCTGATGCTACTTAGAATTCGTTCTCCATGTGATGAAATAATTGCACCTTAATTTCCCACGCTGATATTTTATGAGACTGACGAAGAAACAAGTTTACAAATCGACAGCATCCGGTGATGAATACGCCATTATGCTAGGCGTAATGTGATGCATTAAACTAAGCTTCGTAAAGCAATACGAGTTGGTACTTGAGGCGTTGTCTGTTTAGTCTACCAACTCTTGCAGTATTTTTACATTCACCATACGTATTTGCCTGCATTTTGACTGATTATTCCGATTACGCACATGTATAAACGGATCCAAATATTGTGAATAATTACATGCAGGTAAGAATTTTAGGTATTCTTTGAGTAAATATGATCAACTTAATCGGATATAACCGGTCTGGATGACACTTATTGCATTTGCTATTGTCAGTAATTAAAGGGAATCCCCTCAATGGTCTCAAGCAAATAAGACATATTTTGTTTTATAGGCATTTTGAAATGACTGAAATTTGTAGCAGACTAAAGGATAATGCTAGGTATTATAGGTTATTAAAAGTGTTGCAAACAACTTAAGAAACCTTTTCGTTGGTATTTAAGTTATTCTAACTTATTCTATGCAATTCGTCAAAAGTGATATCCTCATTAGTGAGAATGTACCCGAATTATTTTAGCAGCACAAACTGATCCGTGAAGGTGCTGCATCAGCACGCAATATGATATCTCAAGGGAATATTTTGTAGTTCCTTCCCTTTCTATAAATCATTAAAATACCATCGCTAGAGAGAAAAATATGCAGCGGAGTTTGCAAATTAAACGTGAAGCTATGCTTCCCCTTCCTAACTTACCCACACTGTGAACACCGCCCTGGGGGGGAAATCTGTCAAATATACCCAAGTATCTGACAAAAAATGTACTAATATGAGCCTGTTTTCTTTGTCCATCGTAGAAATTACTAAGGCTGGTTTCATCCAAACGTAAATTTGGTACTCAAAAACCGGATTTGCGGTAGATAATATATGGTTCCTTTCCTGCAGCGACTCAGTCTGATCATCAGGAGAGCTCCAGTCAATGCGCACGAATCGCCCATCAGCATCCGTTAAACGGCCAATGTTAGAGGCATTTGATTGTATTATGGCTGTATTAAGCAGCTCCGCGGAAGCCGTATTGACGGAACTCATCGAAATGTTGTAGACGTACGTATCCACTTTCGTTAAACAAAATGGAAAAAACAGATAAGCTTAATTAAAAAGTGCAACAGTGGAATATCAGAAGTTATCTACTGAGTGGGTTAAGATCGCTAAGCTGGAAACGAACTATTTACTGCTTTTCTCCTGTTATCTAATATAACAATTATATGATAGAACCTTTAAGGTGAACAAATACTTTTAGAGAATAGCGCTTATTTCATGTAAGTGAAATATATCGACAGGGATGCTGACATTCAGCCATCTGCCTTCAGACGCGTTCTGCGGTGGTATTTCTCGCCAAAGAGCCTATCCAATAAATAATACGCTACTTTAAAGGTATTTGCAAAAACTAACTTTTCTAGATAAGTCTCTGAGACATTGGCAAATCCGTATTATCTAATTCTATGTGGTCGCAGAGTTTGTAATTCGCGATACAGGTGCCGTAAATCTGCGCAAATTTTTGCGGTATATAACTGTTTATATATCATGGCTATTTATGGATAACCAGATGAACACTGAATTGTCACAAGTTTAACCTCTATCAAATTCATGCATTGTCCTAAAGAAAAATAAGCTCGTTTTATTTGCATGAAACCTGACATGTTAGGTCACTACACCACTGACCGTTTTCTTATTATTGTGATCACTTGCAGAAAATAGTAATGGCAGTCAGCTAGGAATAATCTGTCTCACGTCCTCCAGACCAGTTCACGATAGGAACATAGACTGAATAAGTTTACATATTATGGAACCACAACCACTGATTTTGTTACAAAAGGCTTACATTTATATCATGGCAGCTAAAAGTAATCGCCCCATATTTCTGAGTGTTTTCCTCAATAATTAATTCAGAAATGCGAGTGCTTTACAAACTAATTACCGGCTAAGCTATGCTGGTAACCGGCTTCTACTGTCTTTCTGGTACAAATAATTGTAATATATTTCAATGGTCTATGTTAATTCTTCATAAAGATAAGTTTATTATTCTGATGCATTAAACATGTATAAGTGTGGATTAGCTTGAGAAATATATAGGTTGCATAACGGCAACTGGCTTCCAAAGCCAGATTGAATTCGTATTCAAAGCTAAGGTTTATATTTGTTAGATGGTTTGTTCTGACCAACCGTTTAGTTGCAGCCTAAAATACTTTTGCACGCACGACAGGTTGTACTGCCTTAGCAACGGTGGCAACAGAAAAGGATGCTGACAACATATCTTACCAAAATTGGCGACACAATTTATTTGATTTTGTGTTTGCCATGGTAGCCATCGAAAAATTAGACGTTTATGATTAGTATCAGCAGACTTGCGCATCCAGAAATAGAAAATACAGCTAATTTATTTAAAACTGGATTTATAATTTAGCCACAAGTGCAAAGAGATATTTAAGGAATTATCAATCTAGAGAAAAATGTCTACAAAAGTGTTTCGATACCGTCGTTAGTACATCATTTAAAGTTAAAAACACGTTATGGTTAACACCCTCGTATGTTGGTGAAAGCATACGCCAGCAATATGAAACATGTTAAATTACTTTGAGTATAGTTAATGAACAATTATCATGGTTGTAGATGCTTCTGTAAATGGTCTTGCGAAGCTCTCCTCCTATTTCCGTTGATGATTCGTTTAGGTGATTTTCAATACATTTACAGTTAATTAATATTTTTCAAATGCACAATGTTGTAAATTGAAATCTCAGAGAAAATGAATAACAATATCTGCCGTCCAATTGCAACGGACAAGTCTAACACAGTAATGCATTTATAATTCAATAAAAACAACCTGTACAAGACCACTGTCAATTCTTCGGCAATGACGTAGTAGGCTTTGGATTATTTCGCGTTTCCTTCCAAACCTCTGTGTTACGACTTTTCTATATACGATAATGCGTTGACGTTGTATGCTTACGAATGTGTAAATGATGTTCCCCATTAATACAATCTGAACCAGTGCTTACATAAAACGAGTAACGCATTCATATTTGAGCGGCTTTTAGAGAGATGCAAATAAAAGATTTCATGGAAGCAGTTAACATTACACAGATAGTTTTGTAAATGATATACATAGTACGCAGTGATTTTTCGTAATATTGTTTAAGATTTCAGTAATGTCGGCATCAAATTACACCGGCATTTCTGGAACAAATCAAATGTTCCTCCGTTAATCAAACAGAATGGTAATATGGCAAATCGTTTAGAAATATTTTATTTTTAACTCTCTGATTGACTAGTTGGCTTGAATTGTATAGCTGATCACACTAACCGATTCCCCGATATTAGTAAATAACATCGCAAGTTTAGAGTGATAAACTTACAGCTTTTATATGTTGAGCAGATCGTGTATTTGAATACAGGTTTATTCCTTGTATTATGCTCAAATCTATATCAGAGCTTTATTGATTTACTCATGTTTGTTTTTTAGAAAACTAGACAAAGATCTTCCTAATCTAAATATTAGCAAATAGCGACTAACCTGCAATTAATACTAACGAACAGTCTTCTTGGGTTTGCCTCGTTTGATAGTGAAGCATCCGGGTACAACAAGCACAAAGTTAACAATTAACAGTTATCGTTGTTTTTGTGAAGACATTTTTACAAATGGCGAGATGACTGCAAGCATTTTAAGAAATAATTTCTAAAATAATTAAGATCTCATATAAGCAATTAACTTCCTTTATGGTTCATTTATAGGAATACGCCGTTTGGTTGTGTTACCTAGCCTTCTGGCCAATAAAACAACGCAGATGATGGAACTGGCAGAATTCACCTTAAAGTTGCAATTTTACTCTTCTCGGATCTTTTGTGTAATCAAAACAGGTGGATACGAATTTCATAAACTAGTAACCACAAGTAAAAGAAATTTTGAAATTACAGCCGGTCCCAACGCTAGTTGCAATATAAATGATGACCTCACAGTCTGTTATCTCAGGCTTCCAGGAATTGGGAACAAATGGGGGAATCATTTAAAGTAGGATTTTGTAACTCATCAAGAATTCATCCCGAAAAAGTGATGCTAAATTCCATTGCCGCGGAGAACTTACCATGTTGCAATATTTTGTTTGGGTAAGCCATACATCTAGCTACGCTGGGTGGTTTTTTCCCATATTCAGAGCGACTCATAAATGTTTGGTCAATAGTTAGAGGCCAGAAAACTCAGTTTCCTGGTCCCGCAGGTTGACGGATCAGAGTAAGGATAACTTTATTTCTTAAAAGAACTCCCTATAGTACTCTGAAGCGAACGTTGCCGTGCTGTAGGCAATAAATCCAATGAGTTCGGTTAAGTACCTTAGTCATTCTAATAGCATGTTGGGGGCAATCTGACCATATACGGCACACGCAATAACAATAATATTTTTTCAAAAAGATTTTCAAGCATTGGCAGGCGCAGAGTAAAATAACCATGCTCTAAATGGGCGTTGAGCAGTGCGGATAGAGGTTTTGCAACTATTCCGTCATCCTACACACCAAGTAAGTTTTACAATTTAAACATACGGTAAAAATTACTTTTATCAACGCTTCAAACCAATGTCACTTGAAAGTTCCATTTTCATGTTTTGATAAGCGTTAACATTGTAAACATTCACAGGCAAATGCACGCATAGTACTAATAATTCAGCTTTGCTACATAATCAAAATAACCGGCTGTTCATTCAACACGAGCGTCAATTCCTTCTCGCCATGAAAAAGTAAATACCCGCACTATCAGTGACACTCATTGGTCATAGGACATCAGCCAATGGGACTCCCGGGATGTAAGCCAGGGCTAGATGTATGCGTCCATAGGTACAGGTATGCTCCCGAGTAAGCTGACACATGTGTGTCAACGGAATGCAGACAGGGTGAGAGTGCCAATGCTAGAAAACAGCAACAGTACACCTGCAGGTGGCTGATCAACCTAGGATGAGGTGTTTGAAGCTTCTCCCTAAGCACCAGTTTAACAGATATTTTTCGGGAAGAGTTACCATTGGTTGGTATCTTGACCCGACTGGTAGCCGATGTCTCTGTGCCAACTTTTCAGTGCTTGTGCGAGCAGCCCGTAACGTACCGAGTGCACAATATGTGATCAGTCAAAGGTGCACAATACCAGTTGGACATTTAGGCTCCAGGTTACTATTGCTTCTAATTGAAACAATTTGCCGCATGAAGCTGATAATAATAATTACTATTACTATTATTGAGGACCATAATAATAATAGTCAGCTTTTGCATCAAGCGGTAAGCTGGGACAATATTTGGCACCTAACACATGCGCACAGGTGACGTCATGTTTTTGTGATAACAATATCAAGTTATCTTCTCATATTTGTCTTCATTCCTGACAAGGTATTTGCCCCGTAATTTTGTTTTCTGCAACGGTAGTAGGCAAATTTGTAGTTTGAGTAGGTTGTAGACACTGAGGACTAATTACGTTGCGTGAAGTAGTGGCATTACACCCATTAGATGTTATCTGGGCTTGCCTTGCATGGATGTTCAAATGATCATCTAAACGAAAAGAACAACATAATGTCGTCCAGCTAGAGGTAGCTTCACAAATTACTGCGAAAGGATTGCACAGTCTCACACGACCTGATGGTGAATGGCAGCCGTTTCCAAACAAAAACATTAAAGTTGGGATGAAAACTGCCTGTGCTATAATCAGGGTAAAGTCTTTGTAATTGTGTGTGTAATTGTGCTTCAATGTTAAGGTGAATTGGTTGCAATAGTTATCGCCATGAATCAGCTTGTGCAATAGTAGCAAAAGTCTATTATTTTCTGCAGCCAAATGGGATCGAGATGTAGTTGCTAACATCGTTCCCAAGGCTATATGATGGAAATCTTCCCAATAGGTATTAAGTAAATGACCGTTGAAGTAATTTTATCCGTGTTCTGTCTGGTTTTCTTATATTGTCTCAGATCATGCTGCATTTATAAGCAATGTTAGCGGATGATTTATGGCTCGTGCTTTCTGGTTCTCAACTTGACTGAGAGCATGGAAGGTACAACAATATATG